TGGGATGATGGGGTTGGTTGGGTTGGGTGTCGGGTTACAGGGTGGCATGGGGTGGGGTTCGGTCGGGGGAGTTGGGGAGATTGGGTTGGTTGACCCGTGTGAGCGTGGTTGGGAAAGAGAGGAAGGATCCCACGGAAAACCGGGGATGGAGTAGGAGACGACCTTGATTGTGAAGCAACGGTGGAGTATGGGAAGTGATTTTCTTGAAATTGGACATGACGGGAGATATATATACGACCCGTGGTCTGATCAAAACACCGATACCCTTTGGAGGAAGAGTCATAGCCAAGGAATATGCAAGGTTTGGACCGGGGTTGGAATTTATTAGTTATTTCATGACGAAGACATGGATAGGACAAACACCCAAAAATTCGAAATATAGAGTAGTCTGGAGGTGTGTGAAAGAGAGACTCATAGGGTGATTTGTGATTTAGAGATCGTTTGGGCATGCGATTGATCAGAAAATTTTCCGTGGCTAAGGCTTCAACCCAAAATTTTGCTGGGAGAGACGCAGTGCAAAGGAGTGTGACAAGGGTTTCAACTAAGTGACGGTGTTTCCGTTCTGCTACCCCATTTTGCTCAGGAGTGTATGGACAAGATTTTTGATGTAAAACCCCCAAACTTTGTAAGAACAAGCCAAATTTTGTGTTGACATATTCCCGCCCATTATCAGTTCTAAAGATTTTAATTTGTGTATTGAACTGATTTTGAACCATAGATTGAAAACTGAGAAAAGCATCAAATGCATCAGACTTGTGTTTAAGAGGGTACAACCAACAAAATTTGGTAAAATCATCAATAAAATTAATATAAAAGTGAAAACCTCCAAAGGAGGGTACTGAGGTAGGTCCCTAAACATCAGAGTGAACCAGTTCAAAAGGAGCAGACGCTTTAGTTTGCGACACAGGGAATGGGAGTTTATGAGATTTAGCAACAGAACAAGAATTACAATGATCAAGTTCTTGAAATTTAAAACCTAATTGAGACAACAGAGACTTGGTGACTTGAACAGAGGGATGACCAAGACGGCAATGCCATTGATAGGGAGTGACTTTGACAGAGTTGACCACGGGTGACGAACTGAAGGCAGGGAGAGAATATAATCCACGCTTACAGGGGCCCTTGAAAAGAACTTGGTTGGTGGTGTTGTCCCGAATCATAAAATCCTTGGAAGTGAAAAGTAGGGAACAGTTATTATCTTTGGTAAATTGATGAACGGATAAAAGGTGAGAATTAATATGAGGAGAATGAAGAAGATTGGTTAATGTAAAGGTATGGTTAGGAGTGGTGAGTATACCTGAGCCTGTATGGTCAATAGGATAAGTATTACCTCCCGCAGTTGTAATAGAATTGGTGCCATGATAAGGTGAAGAAGTATGCAGCCGAAAAAAATCAGACGTCACATGGATATTCGCTCCAGTATCCAGATGCCAGTTCGGATTGGTTTCAGCAGATTGATTGGTGTAGTATGCCTGTGGAGGACCAGAGTAAGATTCATCGTAGCGGTGCCAACAATTCCAGACCGCATGACCGGTCTTATTACCACACAGTTGACACGTGATGCCAGCCCCACGTCCACCACCGCGACCTCGCGGTTCCTCTCGGTAGGCAGGCAGTCGGCCTCCTCTGCCGCTGTAGCTGCTGCCGCGGGAGGGCCCTCCACGGCCACGATATGGCCCACGGCCACGACCCCGGCCAGTACCTCGTCCTGAATTGGTGAGTAATGCATGGTGAAGGTCTGTTGATGAGGGAGAACCAGAGTCGCCAAGGTGCAGTTTCTTCTCAAAAGTGAGATTTAATTCTTCCGAGAGCAACCACGCAAATACTTGATTAAAAGTGACGGCTGCAATATTAGTACGAATGTTTTGTTTGAGCGAGGCATAGTCCGTAGGGAGGCCTCGAAGCACACACAGGATAACATCGTGTTTAGAGATGTCCTCATGAGCCAATTTCAGAGATGAGACAATAGTGAGAACAGTGTCCAGGTATGTTTGCATGGAATCAGTGCCCTTTTGAATGCTATGTAGGCGCTCCTTCAATTGAAAAATATGAGTACGTGATAGAGAATTGTACCGTTGTTCGAGGTGATTCCAAATTGCAGCAGAGGATGGAAGAGCATGAATATGAGTCTGAACGGTTGGAGAAACAATAGCAAGAAGACAGGCCCTGATTTGAGCATCAACAAGAACCCATGAGTCATAAACAGGATTGGGTTTCATAATTGGCGGTGCATCCTTGCCAGGGCGGCAGCTTTCTCGTCCAGAACAAGGGGTGGAGGAGGCACTTCTGAACCATCAACATATCCGAGGAGACGATGAGCGATGAGATTTGCGCGAACCGTAGCAGACCAAGAGGGATAATTTGTATCATCTAGTTTGACCAGAGTTAGAGATTGAAGATTCCGGACAAATAGTTTCAAACCCGTAGGCAGACGATCCATGGGATCAGAAGATTGAGAAGCCATGGCCGATCGGTGGAGATCGACGGCGTGGGGAAGACGTAGCCGAGACAGAATCGGCTGGGCCGATTTTTTTCTTTTGTGTTATCGAGAAGGAAGAGGCGGATCAATAGGCTCTGATACCATATTGAATTATGATTTCAACTCAAGGAAAATAATTGTGTACAAGCTAGTTTATATAGATGGAGATTCCTACATCAATTAGGATTCTCCAAGTATGGTAACTAACTATAATAACAATCCTTCTATAACTATAACTATTACCATAGTTATCTAACACCCAGTCGTATTTATCAGAGAAGGAAAACAACTTAGCTAGAGAAAGAAACACTCTGCTCTTCCTCTTCATTCTTCTTCTTCTTCTGGCTCGGGCATTTCCAACTAATTAAGCAATTAACCACTAATTAAAGAAACGTAACGTTCGCCAACGCAAAACAAAACACCAAATAATGTGACCCCAGCCCTTTGATTAATAATAAAAACAGCAACAAGACAGCTAACCCAGCCACGACCGCCATCCCCACGGCGGCCGACGAACCACCCCCAGCCGCCACGGTGCCGGACTTCGTCTTCGGGGCCGGGGCAGGAGACGGGGAACCAGAGGGCGGAGCGAGGGCGGAGCGGAAGGCAGCGGGACATTCTTCGACAGTACAATCCGGGCAGGGGAGGGAAAGAAAGAAAAAAATAAATGGTGAAATTGAAAATTTTAAAATATATAAAATTCTAATTTAGCCTAAATGACTGGAAGTTAACCTGGAAACGGGTATATGGATTTTTAGTGAAAGAATTATGTAAATTCAGGTACTTTTGCGAAAAAAGTTAAAAGTTCAGGTACCATTTCAAAATTGGAATAAAAATTCAGGTACCATTATTGAAATTTACCCCACTAATCAAGCAATAAATGTAATCTTAAAACCCTACTCTCCCAACGTAAGGCGCGTGATTCTCCAACCGGCTATTCTTCTCTCTTCTTCATCTCAATTTCTGGAGCTAGGAGACTCTCGAAGTCTCACCTATCCGATACACCGTTGGATCACATTCGCTTTATGAGATTGATCTAGCTTTGGAGTTTGGATACGTACGGCTTAGATATTGTCAACATGGATGGATTTCTTTATTGGATGATTTCTTTATTTTATTTTCCTAGGTAAACGTTTTTCAACAAAATATTCTTCACGCAATCCATTATTTAGAATTTGTTCTCATTCACTATCAAACTTTCTTTTTCTTTTTTTTTTCTTGATTGATATATTACGTTTTCCCATTTGAGACCAACTAATCCTAAGTCTTACGTAAGAATTAATAGGAGTTAAATACTCCCTCCGTCCTGTTATATTCGTTCACTTTTAACTTTTGGAACTGTTCATCTAAGCACTTTGACTCATCAAATTCTCTCAATACGTAAACCTAAATATTGTCATGTGTAATCTTGTTTGATTTGTCTTAACATATAGATTATTAATATATAATTTCTATAATTTTTTAATATACAAATTACAAGATAAAATGAATTAAAGAAGTGTATTGGATGGTGTGCAAAAATGAAAGTGGACAAATACTCTGGGACGGAGGTAGTATGTTTACAATACTATTGAGAAATGTCTATATACAGTGTCATATTATCACAGTATAAACCTCTATTTTGAGATAAAAACATAAAGTTAGTATTTATGTACTTTTTCTATGTTTTACTTCTATTTAGGCGATGTCTCTTCAACTTATTCTTATTATTTATTACTTTTTTCTTATTAAAATCAGATCAGACCAGATAGTTTTAAATATAATTATATTCGAATCAGACCAGATCAAATCAAAATTTATTTGAATCAAATCAAAACTATTCAAATGATGTGAAAAAATAACGACCTTAGTGTGATTCACCAAAAATTGTACCTCATTTGTACCCCACAATTATACACAAACATTTTGATGATTTACACTTACACAAGTATTGGTGCGTTAACAAAAATTTACACGAATACAAAGTGTTGGTGCATTAATAAAAATTAGTTTAATACTAACAGAAAATGTTGGTGCAAACCTGCAGGATACAAAGTGGAGTACAAAAATTTGGGATACAAATAGCTTTATCCTTCTTATTTTTCTTTAGTATAGAAGGGATAGAAGAGAAAGAAAATAAGAAAAAAAAAAAAGTATTCGGGGATGGGGAGTCCGGAGTCCTCCCCACTAAAAAAGGGTCGTTCGGCAATAAAAAGTTCTTTTTGAACAGAGTGGGTCTATCATGATGATGCCTGCAGCACAACGCAATTCAGTAGAAAGAGAATCTCCCAAACACCAAACACTTTTCAAACAATTCCCTTTCTCTCTCTCTCTCATCTCAATTCTCATCTCAAATGCGAGAGAAAGAGGCCATGGACAAAAGTTGTGGGTGTTGGGCTGTTCTCAGGCGCAGTGCCAGTGGTAGGGATGACTGTAGCAGATCCACATTTTCCAAACACAATCCTACCTCCATGCCATCAACCACTCTTGCCCTTTATGGTGCTGGTGAGTGTTATTGTCAAAACCCACTTGTGAACCAATTCATATTGCTATGAATGTGCATAGATAAAGATTTCTCTCTGCCTCTTTCAGAATTTGTTTTCTCGTTGCTTCATAAACAGGGAAACAGGGAGATTTTTCCTGTGATGATCAAGGTCGGGAAAATGACGCGCCTCGCAGATTATTGGAGTTCACCTTTCAGGAGCTAAAATCGGCAACGGGGAACTTCAGGCCAGATAGTATTCTTGGGGAGGGTGGATTTGGTTATGTGTTCAAAGGGTGGATAGAGGAGAATGGGACTTCTCCGGCAAAGCCTGGCTCAGGTGTTACCGTGGCTGTCAAGAGTTTGAAGGAAGATGGGCTGCAAGGCCATAGAGAATGGGTGGTTAGTAGTATAGACTGTGTTGAGTCGTCGTGGTTAGTGGTGATTAGAGTGAATGGTCTGAATGTGGAATCTGATTAAGTCATTTGAGAGATAACCCATTGTTTTCTTGTATGTTGCAGGCAGAAGTGCACTTCCTCGGACAGCTTCATCACCCAAATCTTGTGAAGCTCATTGGGTATTGCTGCGAGGAGGATCATAGGATGCTTGTCTATGAATTTATGACTCGTGGTAGTCTTGAAAACCATCTTTTTAGAAGTGGGTTTCGCAGACTTTTGGTTGTTCTTCTTGTTTCTTTTATAAGATAAATGAATAAATAAAAAGTGTTTGAGCTGATGTTTAAACTGTTATTGAAGGGACCATACCTCTCCCCTGGTCCAACAGGATCAAAATTGCACTGGGTGCAGCCAAAGGTCTAGCATTTCTCCATGGAGGCTCTGAACCAGTCATCTATAGAGACTTCAAGACTTCAAATATTTTGATTGATTCGGTAACAAATCCATGGCCAGACAACAATGCATTTATTGTCTGTCGTGTTCGGAATGACCGAATCAAACCCTATTTCTGCAGGACTATAATGCCAAACTCTCCGACTTTGGCTTGGCGAAAGCTGGTCCTCAAGGAGAAAATACCCATGTTTCAACCAGGGTCGTGGGAACTTATGGCTACGCTGCTCCAGAATACGTCATGACAGGTAACTTGAGAGGAATACATCTTCTGTCCCTAAATAAAATGTTTAGGACAACACAGTTGTCCCCTAATAAGGGGTGGGGGTGCCTTTCTTTTTAGGACACCTGAGTACAAAGAGTGATGTTTATAGCTTCGGAGTTGTGCTGTTGGAAATGCTAACCGGTAAGAGGTCCATGGACAAAAGGAGGCCAAGTGGAGAACAGAACCTAGTGACATGGGCACGTCCCTATTTAGCCGACAAACGGAAAGCCATCCAAGTTGTTGATCCGCGCCTGGAACTGAACTACTCGGTTAAAGGGGTGCAGAAGGTGTCACAGATAGCTCACACTTGTCTGAGTAGGGATTCCAAATCGCGCCCTTCCATGGATGAAGTTGTCAAGGCTCTCTCCCAGCTTCAAGACTACACTGACTTTGCTGTACTGTCTAACAAGCCTGGCATGAATATTAGAGCCGGAAGACGAAAGAAGAATAAAGGGGAAGGAATGCAGCAGATGAATTATAAGCAGTGCAGGAGCATCAGAGAGTCTCCCCTTCACTCTCAAAGGGCTAAAAATGTCACATGAAACCTTGACACTCCAACTACTTGTGTTGATTCTTGACTGCTTTCTATGTCTCTATGCTGTAATTAGGAATGTAGTGTGTTTGTTAAGTACACTTTTTTGTTATGTTGTATCACATGAGTAGAATATTAAGGAAGTGTTTGTATAGCCCAAGTGTAATTGGGAATTGGTGTACCTACGTGTAATTGTACCGGTTACTCTTTTTTGTTTGGGGAAAAAGACGTTCATTACTGTAAGAAAAGAGAAATCACAAAGTCAGGAGGGGTAGAAATCCTAATACCCAAACTCGCTTAGCAAGGGTACGAGTAATAACATTAGCCTCACTATGCACAAAAGAAATACACCGTAACAAAAGCTACCCAACAAGATCTTACTTCAAAGAGATTGAAGGAAATGCATTGAACATCACATGACATGAGAATCATTTACAAAGTTGCTCTGTTTGGTAGTATGTGCAATTACAAAGTCAGCATCTGATTGTAAATGATGTAAACAGATAACTTAAAATCTGATTATCACTCGTGTATCCGTACGTTTCCATTCTAAAGAATAAATTCACATGCATTTAAGAGAAAAGGTCACTTCGTTGTCACCGAACAATGGTTGTCAATGATTGCCCATGTAACCGTAACAATGGTTGTCAATGATATCTTGGAATTGAGGCCTATTCGTTAATAGAAAAAATCTACTTCAAAATCAGGAGGAATCCTGTGGTAATTGAGGGCATACACGTAGCTAGCAAAGATTTGTATCTCCTTCAAGCTTCTTGAGGTCTTGAGTCATGCCTGGAGTGTAGAATTTGAAAGTGATATTGGCACGGCTCAATCCGAGATCGTTATTTACAAATACAAATATAAATCCGTCTTCGGATTGAACCGCACCAATACCGCTCCCTGAATGTTCACATTCATATACTGTACATGTTTAAATTATGAGCACTCTCCATGTCCCGTAATAATGAAGTTCATGTTATTTTTTTCCGTGTATCTTGAAATAAAATTATTAATAAATTATTAATTATTTGACCGGCTCGAAATTATTTGACGGGCACAGGCTTTTAATTATTAATTAAAGATAAATTACATGGTATATAAATTTAATAAAATAATATCTTAAGAATATTTTACAAGATAAATTTTATAAAATTTTTCTTGTAACAATATCTAATATAAATTTTATTTTAGTAATTGTCAAAGTTTATTAATTTCGATTGTAAAAATTCAAAATGAACAAATATTCAGTGATGATGGTAGTCTTAATACAGTACTTAATAAGATTGTTCATAAACACTGTAAAATCATAACGTAAATGTCATTAGATGCGGGATGAAAGGAGAAATAGTATAAGAAATGTTCAAAAACTTTTGTTCAAATTATATAAATCTGTGTTTTGAAGCATTTTGCGATACCTTATTAAAAACATGAAATTTGTAACAGACTAATTAGAAAAAAAAGTTTGGCATGTTAAGGCAAAACATGTTTTAAAAATGTACTCCCTCAGGTCTTCTCTAATGAAACTTTACAATAAATTATTTTTTGATTGCTATTAACTCGATTATCTACAATACATCTCTAATTTGACTCGAACTTAGATAAACTTCCCCATGAATTTTGTGAAATTGACTACGTACACTCTATTTGAGAAAGATTTCTAAAAAAAAAAAACTGCATCTAAATTTTAGTTTCAGAGAGAAATGATGTAAAATATAGTATAAGGAGTATTTCAAAGAATCAAAGACGTATTAGAAGTATGAAGTTTATTTTGAAACAAACTTTAAAAAAAGTATAGAAGATGAGAGAGTATTATTTTGTAGCCCAGGCCAGTTGGCTCGGGAAGGGGCCGATTTGTAACATGGCGCAAAGGTCGATTTCCCGCAATGTGTAGTGTGGAAGTGATATTTTGAAGCCATTTTAGGCTATAAGAATGAGCTCCTTGCATGCCTGTTGGTCTGGCCTCCCCCTCTAACGAGCCACTGAGTCTTTGATTTACTTCACTCCACATACCTCATGAGACGAGGTTGAGACGAGGTGTGAGGTGCCCTTGGGGTTGGGGATTCAAACTTTTTGCAACTTGAGGTAAATTAGTAGGAATTGATCAAAATAAACAACATTATTATAAAATTCTATTTTGGCACACTGGTATTTTGACTTTTGACTACACAATAAAAAAGAAACTAGAAATTCTCTTTTGGAGAGGGTTCTTAATTATCATAAGCATGTGTGTGTATGCATATATACTCCTTTCCTTCGGGTTTAGATATTCAATTTTGACTTTTTATATTCAATCACTATCAAACTTTCGATCTATAATTAAATAAAAATTACTTGATATATTAATTTGATAAAATATTACTTTGAAAATATTTAAGAAGATAAATCAAAAAATATAAATGTGTATTAATTTCCAATATAATTTTTTAAATTAGTGGTCAAAAGTTATCAATTTTAACCGCAAAAAGTAAAAAATGGCACGTTATGCAAAACGAAAAATGAATTTTTTATCTTTTTCACTTCATTTTATTAATGGTTGATATGAAAATAAAAAAAATTACATATTTGAGAATTATGTCAAAAGCTCTACAAATGACGCTCTTTTAAGCAGGGAGGAGGTATGTGTGTGTGTGTGTTATATGTATATATGTTTATTGACTAATTGTCAAGTGAGAAAAAGGATCGGGAAGAAGGATTTAATTAAGAAAGAATTTAGGTGAGAGTGAAGTGTGAAGCAAAGAGAAGTGCAAGAGGATATATATATGTATATATGAGGAAGTTAGGGTTTGGATTGTGATGAGAATTGAAGGAGAAGGATGTGGAAGAGAATGATATATATGAATGCCAAATGGGGAGCACACTTTACTTTAACGGTTAGCCATGCCTGGTATCTACTCAAAACCACTCTTTTTCTCCCTTAGGCCTTTGATTTGCGCATGCAACTAATATATTCTCCACAACAAAAATATCAATACTTCAACTAGCTATAAAGTCCAAACATACATTATATTACCCACTTTTGGATTATTGAATCTATTTGAAAAACAACATTTAATTTATTTTTAAACTAATTAGGACAACAATCTAATCAAATTTTACGAAAATATAAATAGCTAGGATTTGAAAAGAAGGGGTGTGTAGGCAGACTTGGAAGTTGGAAGTAGCTAGATCGAGCGACTGTTTATAAGACTCGAGCAATGAAAAACATACAAGTGAAATTTGCACTAAATAAAACTAAAACATAAGTCATTTCCTAACGCAGAACTTAAACTTTTTAAAGATAATGTAGATAATGTATTATACAATTTGGTTTTGTAACTTTTGAACGACACGTTTATACAGTATAAAGAAATCATTCTTAATAAGATTAAAACATAGTACTAATTATGGATTTATGAGACATCATGGTCCTGTTCTTGGATTTGGCAGTGGTCGGATGTTCGGACATGAGATAGGAAGCCATTGCCAGTAGTATATAGGCACACCACCATTGTTACGTTATCTCATTATATATATTACAATACGCTTATTTAAAAATATATACTCCCTACATATCCTCAAATGATGAATACAATTCACTATTAAAAAATCACGAGAACTGTTAGAGTGCGTCTCACATCGAAAGTCCAAGAGTAAAATAATTGATATATAAGCTCTTGAGTTAAACTAACTAATCGATTGGATTCCATTTTGTTAATGTTAAGTTCAACCCAAGTATTTCATTGCCCAATCCAGTTATCGTTACCACATCCTAAATTTTATCATGGTATCAGAGCATGTTTTGGTCCACCTCGTTTGTCAAGGTGTCCATCTAGATGTTCATTCATAGCGGCCCGTTTGTCTTTAGCCCAGTTGTCCGTATGCAGTATGTACCCAACAGCCTGTGGCCCGTTTAACACGATTACTCGTTTAGAAGTCCATATTCTAGCGGCTCGTGATTCATTAGGTGTTGGTGCTCAAAAAATCAAGGGGTTGAGAGTCCATTTGCAAGTAGTGAACCGGTTAGATTTAAAATGATCTGGTTGTTCACTTAAAGTTGAGTGTTATAGTGCATTCCACATCGGAAGTCCAAGAGTAAAATAATCGGTATATAAGCTTTTGAGTTAAACTTAGTAATCAATTGGATTCAATCTTTTAATGTGGTCCAACCTAAATGTCTTATTGGACAATCCAGTTATTCTTACCCCATCCTAAATTTTATCAAGAACGTAATTTTTAGTTATTTGTGGGTTTTTACTAATTATTTGATACAATAAAATATTTTTGTCACCATTTATTTTGTACATACTTTTGATGTATTTTTTTTAAATTTGTAAATTTTATTATTTATTTTTACATCAATCTTTAAATAAAATGTATTGAAAAAACTTACGAGTAAAATTTTAACTCTTTTTGCGTAATGTGATCTTTTTAGACAAGGGAATATGACTTATTCTAAGCTTTTAAGAGTTTTAAGTTTTTACCATTTGGTATTGAAATGAAAAATAGTACTCTATTTTTAAATACCCTTGCCAAGTCTCATTGTCATATTGATAAATAGAATCTGAATATATATGACACGAGATGATATGTGAATAGAAGAACATAAAGAGTGGCATTATATATGAATTTGCCGGGGCCGGTCCTGAAATATAAAAAAATAAAATTGACATGGTCCAATATTTTCATTTTGGGCCCTATTTTACTTTTTTAGAATATTTATGTTTTAAAATTAATGACAAATTTAAAAATATGATACTCTAAAGTTTTAAGGACCCCCTGCACACACACCGGACCACCATATGGAATTCGGAAAGAGATGTCTCTAATATCATTGCAAGGCTAAGCAAGTTCGTTCATGATGATATATGTTTATTGTATATGCTCGTTGGGTGATTCTTGGCGATATGATATGAAATGAGTTTTGAAATCTTGAGAAAATGATATGGGATCTGAAATTCAAAATAAAATTGTTTCAAGAAATTAGTAATCATTATTTAACTAGTGATAAACAGACCAAAGGTGATTGGCGATGGGAGCAGTAGCTGGGAGTTGCAGGTTGATGGAGATACCAAATTTCCATATTGATTTCTCCCAAAGTCAAAAAATATCAAAATCTTCTATTCGAAACATTTGTGATATCAGGATATATTAAATTTAAAATCTATTTAGTTTTCAACAAACACCAGAAAAGAGTTATAAGATTTTGCTGGAATGACTCACTCTCGTGAATTGTATTCATCTAGGTCGTGTTTGGTTGAAAATGTTGTTTCTGAATCCTTTATATTTTCTGAAAGAAAAATTGTAAGGTAACATCCATTTCAACCAAATAAATAAAATAAGGTAAGTAACATTACTAATTTAATGATAAGTCCAAATCCGTGTGGAGTTAGTAACTCATTGAATTAATATATCATTAAATTAACCTTGTTGTAATTTTCCCCGGTGCATCTCAATAGTATTAATGGTTTAGTACTCCCATTTCATAATGTATGGCAAATTTTAAGTTTCTGCAAATGAAACTTGGAGTGGGTACTGAAACTAATGGTGAAACTAATGATACATTTCCTTTGGCCAATCTTCTGTCACTTGAATCTTTTGTTGGCCCAGTTTAGAATCTTACAAAAGATAATGTTGCCAAGATTGATGCTGGCATGCTGCAGGTTCAGCAGCATTGGCCACTTTGAAAGAAACCAATATGCCTAACAAGTAACGACCCTTATATTTACTCTTATTTCACATGTCTAATTTTAATGATGTTAGTCAATATTTATTGCTTTTATACAAATTAATTACCGTGCATTGCATGGATTAAAATTTAGTTAACTTAAAAACGAGACGACAAATGACGTGATTAGTGTAAGAAATGGTTATTTGTAGGCATGACTACCCTAAGTGGGGAAAGTTCTTGTGGTCAAGTTGATTCAGGACTACCCTAAGTGGGGAAGATGATAGAAAATGTTTGTTGATTTCTGGACTACCCTAAGTGGGGAAAGTTCTTGTAGCTATGCCAACTAAAAAGACCCGACAAAATGACAATTAGAGCACCCAAAAACAGCAAAAGACTAATTACTAAAAACACTTCACATGACAATCCCACCTGAGAGAAAAAAATGTTCCAAATCTCTCATTTTGTGCATTTGTAGCTACAAAGTGCATTATCTGCCATTTGAAAGCTTACCAAATGTCAAATATGTCCTCTGTGATGAGCAACCTATCAGTAAACACTAAAACTTGCACTTGACAGAATTTCACTGCTCAAATATCAAGCCTAGCTTAACACTAATTTACTCATGAGGCAGCAAGTAAATGATGTATTACGGCAAGTATTTACCTTATTTTCAAGCTAAGGCAGAAACTTGATTCACCTGGTAAGATGTTGATTTTCCCCTACCAGTCAGCATTAGACAAAAGCAATCCCTTCTTCCATAGCACCCCAACATAAGCAGTGAATAAGAAGGGAAAAAAACAAAAACAGATATTTGCAGGTTATTTTCGCCTTTTGGGTCCATTTTGTAAGGGTTATTTGGCTGGGCACTTACTTGGAAATGAGAAACAAGAAGATAAAGGAGATTGCAGTTAAGAACTCAGTAATTACAGCATTCAATAAGATTGGATCAGCAACCTCAACATCATAGATAATTGACATTTTACATTTTTACCACCTGCATTTTAACATATATTGGGCCTCATCCTAGATTTTATATAATAGGAACTTTAGTTCAAATGGGGGACAAAGGTGAACCGAGCCCCGTGCCTCCACATTTTTTTACAGCAACCCTTTGGGACCAAAACATCACAAATTGCAGGAGCATGAGGTTGAGAATCAGTTTTCAAGGGTCTACCAATAAAGTTTGCAATTGAAAAAAGCTAAATTATTACACCGTTGGTCCTTCAATTTATTGCGTCATTCACGGTTAATCCTTCAACTTTGGAAATTCTATCAATAGTCCTTCAAGTCATGTTAACAGTTCATGGTTGGTCCTTTAACTTTGAAAATTCCGAAAATAGTCCTTCAAGTAACGTTGGCGTTGCATGGTTGGTCCTTCCATTACATATAGCTTTTTCAATTGCAAACTTTATTGGCAGTCCTTTCAATTGGGCTAAAAAATGCATGGAGTAAAAACAAAATTAACAGAAGGACTAACAACGCAAGGCTAGCGTGACTTGAAGAACCATTCATGAAATTTTCAAAGTTGAAGGACTAACCATGCATAGCGCAATAACATGAAGGACCAACGGTAGAATTTAGCCCAATTGAAAAAGAAAATAGTAGAGGTATCAAACAAGCAGTGTTTTTTGGTGCAATCGGTGCATACCGTTTTTGTGGACCTTCTCCAGAAAACTGCTCTTGGGTACCCCATATTTTGAGAAACTAACTGTCGGGTACCTCATATTTTCAAAATATACTCCGAAGTACCTTTTATTTTGAAAAACTAACTATCGGGTACCTCACATTTTTAAAATATACTCCGAGGTACCCTCTATTTTGAGAAACTAACTATCGGGTACCTCACATTTTTAAAATATACTCCAGGAAACCTCCAAATATACATTAATTTTACGCCATTAATTTTAAGAAATAGGGGTTTGGAATTTTAAAAGTAACCAAGTTCTTTTAAATTTGAAGAAAATTGTACTCAATACTTTTAAAATTGAGTACTCAGTTTTCTTCAAATTAAAAAGATCTTGGTTTTTTTAAAATTCCAAACCCCTATTTCTTAAAATTAATGGCGTAAAATTAATTTATATTTGGAGGTATCCTGGAGTATATTTTAAAAATGTGAGGTACCCAATAGTTAGTTTCTCAAAATAGAGGGTATCTCGGAGTATATTTTAAAAATGTGAGGTACCCGATAGTTAGTTTCTCAAAATAGAAGGTATCTCGGAGTATATTTTAAAAATGTGAGGTACCTGACAGTTAGTTTCTCAAAATATGGGGTACCCTGAAGCAGTTTTCTGGACCTTCTCACATAAAACATTTTTTAAAATTTTTTTAAATAAAAAAACAGATGTTTGTTTAAGTAATACTCGTAAGAAAATGCTTATATTGTTATATGTAATTGCACCATAGAATTTGTCATCAAACAAATGTAATGGAAGGCCTTGGAGGGCAACCCAAATCGACCTTAGAAGGGTTTCAAAGCAATCAATATTCCATCATGTTTTCCGTAGTAAACATCTTAGGAAATCCTTTTCAGAAGAGAAGATAATTAATAAGAATGTGCTTGGCTTCAAAAGAGGTTACCTTTCCTCAAAAAAAAAAAAAACGGTTACCTTAAATGTTGCTTCAAAACCAATCGGGTCAAATACTTTTCTGATGGTTGGGAGATTTGGTCTACCGGAGACAAACCGTCCGACGATCGACCTTGATTTCATCATAAAGTTTGGAAGGAGGCCTGAAAAAGGAGGGAGTTCCGATAAGTCACAGCCGGTTGTTGGAACAACAAGAGCCTACTCATGTTGAAGCAAAAGATTTTACATACAGAGTATAGTCATAGTAAAACTTTAACAATTTCAAAAATTATACTGCCTCCGTCCAGTGTATTTGTTTGCTTTGACTTTTTCGAGTCAAACTGGACAAATTTTGAGCTTCAATTAAATAAAAAATGTAATGTATTTTAACATAAAAATATCTTTATTGGATTTATCGTATTGAGAACTTTCAAAATTGTATTTCATTATGTTTATATGCAATATAAATTGAGAGTAATTGGAATTCAAAGTTTGTCCAGTTTGACTCAAAAAAGTCAAACTGAATACACCGGGACGGAGGTAGTACAAAACAAGTAGCGACTAGTGACAAGAATGTTTGATTTTATCAAATTATCATTAAAAATACGGAGTATATATAAAAAAAATAAATATAGTTTGACCTAGTAAATAGCTAGGTGGAGTAATATTATGAGACGGATAAAGTATTAATTAATAAAAAGGAAAAAATATCTAACTAGGAGTAAAAAAATACAGAAATTAAAAAAATATGAACACTGTATTTATTCCAAAATAAAACTTAATATATCAAAAATGTCAACATATAATACCAAAGATACTATGAAATATCAATATATACAATGGCACATTGTCACGCTGTAAACTTTTATTTTGAAATTAAAACATTTCACTACTATTTTGGGATAAGAGTTATATTTTACCCTTATTTAAGTTGTTTCTTATGAAAATATAATTAGTAAAATTTATTTGACTAAGGGAAAAAACCAAAATAACACTCTTAGAGCCTTAAAATACTTTAAAAGTAGTGCTATATGTTTTTGAGATGAATTTCCAGTTTTGTCCTTAATTAAACATCCAAAATTGGATTATACTTGATTTTATCGTGCATAAGGAATGAGTGCTTATTGTATTCTTGTTGGTTTTGAAAATCAATTTTTTTCTATATATGATTATCTATAATTACGACTTACGTATTAAGAGAAATGGTATATGATTTTGTGGATATGTGAAGCTTAAATTGCTGGTCTATTGTTGTTGTAAGAAGCTGAAGTGGTCGCTAAAAGTGTTCTACAAGATGGGAGGATTAATACATATTGTAACGTAAATGAGGTTGCAAAACAGATAAAGAAAATTCTGACTACTGAAGAACTAGTCAGATTCAAAGAATCTTTGTTTGGTGTTTTATTAGATGTCACAAAGTTTCCATGGATTAGTGGCCATTTACTTATTACTTTGGTCAGAAATTGTGATAGGCCATCTGGTGAGGAAAGTAAAAAGGACATATTGACTTTTCGAATTCATTAAAATGAAGTGAATTTGACGAAGGAACAATTTCGTTTAATTACTAGTTTAAAGATGGGTGGTTTCGGGGGGGATATGGATAATAATCTAAGACGAAGGTTTGTGTCAAGGTTCTTCCCCGCGAAAAAATCAGTGCACAAAGAGACATTTCCATAGTTGTTCTAAATTTTTAGCGCGATGCACCCGAGGCACTTACAAGTGATTCACTTAAGATGTCATTGGTTTATGCCTTGTCACATTCCTCTTCCTGCCTTCACCTGCTGGTTGCCCACCCTTCTTCTCCTTTTGGGCAGGCGCTTCATCATCATCTTCTAATGCCAGGTACTTCGCCCTGGCTAGCATCTCCTTGTATGTGGGGAGTGGATTTCGTCGCACCTCCTTGCGCACATCCCCTTGAGGGAGTGCTACCTCGTCATCCGCTCCCTGGACGTCCCTGGCCTCCTTCTCCCTGATAAACTCCCGGAGTTGCTCTCCCTTCCGGATCTTGACATTGAGCAAGTGTGAAAAGAGGAGTTTTTGTCTTCGGCTCGACGCGAAGTGCTCCAAGAACTTGTGGGCTAAATCGCTCCACTTGTCGATCGACCCCTTTGGCAACTTGTGGAACCATTCACAAGCTTGCCCCTCTTATGTGGCCAGAAAACTCTGACACTTAATCTCTTCTGGATAGGCGTACATAACCACGTTCGTCCCGAAACGCGCAAGATGGTCTTGGGGATCGGTCGTCCCATTGTACGCTTTGATCTGGGGGTCTTAAAGTTGTGAGGGAGAGGGAAAGACATCACCCTCTTTGAGGATGGGGTCACCTCATTAAAAACCGCCCGGCGGTAGGGATTTTGAGCGTCCAACCGCTTTTCCAGATGGTCGACTATCCTCCACAACTCGACCGCCTCCTTGTCTTCGATCGCCTTGCGTCTCTCCTCCGAACAAGCCTTGGACGTCGCTGAGGATTCATCCCTCATCTCCCTGATCTTATCCTTTAGGTCACCCTTTCAGGCCGACGAAATGTCCTGTAGCCGATCGAACTGAGAGGTCAACAGCTTCTTTTGTTTTGGATATGGATCTCCCAACCGATCGAAAGTGGATGCCCGCTCGAAGGAGGACGATTCATCCTCCTCGTCCAATCAGGACAAATCATCTTCTACCATAGCCTTCCCATTAGGCTTGGACGCCTTCTTCTTATGGGAGTGCCTGGTTTTCTTCTTCTTCCTACCCTCAGAGGCCGCCGGTCCGGCCTCCCCCCGGCCGGTGCCTTAGTAGCATCGTCCACCACCACTTCATGATTTGTGGTCAGGACCGCCATCACCTCCTTAAACTGATCAGCCGTGATCCCGATTCGCTAGATGAGGGCTTCGGCCTCTGTCACGCTGATGGGAGGGCAACGGCCGCCGGTGGCGCTGGTTTCACCTTAAGTGAAGTTCTCGAGCTCTCAATGAAAGCACCAATTTGATGGAAAAGAAATCCACCAAATGATCGGACTTAGAATGGCGGATCGAATGAATTAATTATAAACAAGAACTCGAAAATTATGGGTTTATTCGCTAGGTTCAGCTTGAGGATCCCCATTTGGGTCCTCTCTATTTATACATGCTTTCTACGTAATTATGGTAGTTCACAATTCAAGGAGACTGATCCGCCATTAGCGCGATCCTCTTTCTTCGACTATGTCTCCGCATCCAGCTAAGTTTTCTCCCCTGATACAGGCTCCTCCAGCTGTCTCTTCATTGCGCTGGTCCAGGCCCAAGCTCTTGGGCCAGCCCAGAACCGTTGCACGCCCGCACTGGTAACCCAGCACCATTTGGGCGCGATGTTTGGGCTCCCGTTGGGTATTGGCCCATCAAATGCCTTGGTGATCCGAGAATCAATTCCGCAAAGCCATGCTCCCTGACCGGTAGTGTGACATGTACTGAATCACCCGGGTGGTTTACTCTTCCATCAGTTCCATGCCCCACTGGTCAGGTTTGGATTCGGCTCTACTACCATGGTACGTACTGCTCATGGACCACTCGGTCGTTTCCCGTCGTTTCCGACCCCGAGTAGTGTCTTGAGTGGGAAAACACCCATCAGATAGAATATAATGTAATGACTTTTTTTATTATATTAATCATTTTTAAAAAGTGAAAGTATTTTGATAAAAAAAAATGAAATATGAACTATTTTAAAAAGGGAGAGAATTCATTGAAATTTTTCAAGGAGAGAGTATATTTAAGTTTAAGTTTGATGAAACCGTTGGATATGATTTTGAAAAGAATTTGCAAGTCCCTCATAAGAATAAATATATATATTTAGGGCTATACTAACATGAGATACTCTATTTTTACAAGTATTTAGAGACACAAACTCTTAGTCTGCGCATACACAATCATCGATTCATCGAATACCTAACGTGTCTCTGAATGCTTGATATACAAATGAGATATTCTATTTTTTTAAATTCTCTTAACATTGTCCAAAAAAAAGATTTGCAAAGTTAAATGGGACCAAGGAAACCGTGAATGAGAAGACTGAAACGAAAGAAGGAATCAAAAAAAAAGGGGGGAGGAAGAATAGGAGCCCCAAAATCTGGATCTTAAAGCGCGTCTATTACGGAATGAATACGGAGAATAATGTTTTCAAATGGCAATCCATGCATCATCACTCACCCCTCTTCACGCGGTTTTGGTACGCCCCCACCCCACCCCCACATTCACCCCCCACGCCACCCCACAAAAAACGCGTAATGAATCTCTATTCAAAGCCCCCGGCAACTTCCGAGCAGCTTCCTAAACCCCCCAAAAAATCCCCACTAATTTAAAGATGTCGTCGTTGGCTACCGCATTCCTCTCCCTGCTTCCCCTCATTCTCGGGGCCTTCACACTCTTCTCCACCTTCCAATCAACAATGACCCAACTCCTCTCCTCCTGGCTCCGCTCCACCTCCGCCGCCGGAACCCCAGCTCCGAACAAGAAACCCACGGCGGCGGCCATCACTGCAACAGGCAAGGGGGACCCGGGACTGCAGGGGGTGTTCGCGACGTTCGACAGGGACCGGGACGGGTACATAACGAAGGAGGAGCTGAAGGCGTCGCTGGAGAAGATGGGGATCTCGACGGAGGACGGGGACGTCGCGGAGATGGTGGAGAGGGTGGACGGGAACAACGACGGGCTGGTGGATCTGGAGGAGTTCTCGGCGCTGTACGGGGAGTTCGCCGGCGGCGGCGAGGAGTTCGACGACGGGGATTACTTGATGAGGGAGGCGTTCGACGTGTTCGACGGGGACAGGGACGGGTTCATCAGCGAGATGGAGCTGAGCAGGGTGCTCTCATGCCTGGGGCTCCTCCAGCAGCAGGGCGGCAACAGGTTGGAGGCCTGCAAGGAGATGATAAGGAGTGTGGATGTGGATGGAGATGGGATGGTCAACTTTGATGAGTTCAAGAGAATGATGATGATGGACAACAATGGTGGAACAAGCCTCATTCCTGTTTCCTAGCTCCCAAAAAGTGGTTCTACTTTATATTAAAAAAGTCATTTTTACTCATACTAATCCTTACTTTAGCTATCGCACCAACCATATGTATTTGGTTCCTTTATAAACCATAAAATTCAAAATTTGGAGAATGGGACGGAGGTGGGAGTGTATGTATAATGCATTTTCATCTAATTTCTGTTCTTGATGTACAGATAAAATACATATACGTGTATTTGGATCTATATTTTATTGTTCTTTAAATCTTTATTATGTATTGGGCGCGCTGTGGTATGGCCGGGTGGATCGATCGATCAAGGATGTGCTACCTAGTTTAGACTATTAGCGTTGCTATAACACTTAGTTTGCTCTTTTGTTAAACATTTATACTTTATTGTAAAACATGTTTAATTAACGTTTTGTTATAGCCTATATTTATCATGTGGTACACCCTATGTTACTAGTTAGCTATTCCAAATCCTTGATAGATAACACTCTATCTGAAAACTAAATTTACTCTATTTTAGTACAGAGTATAAAATGTTTTGTCAGGAGTAAAAAGTCATATTTTTCATTCTCTATAAACTACTCACTAAATTGTAATTGAATTAAATTATTTGTACCACAAAAATTATACCTCACTTTGTACTCCGAAGGTATGCATTAATATTTTGTACTAGTGAAATACTACTTTAATGATTTACAATAACACAAAATGTTGGTGTAAATTTTTTTATCGAACTAACATTTTTTGCTGGTGTAAATTGTTAAACTGCTGGTGCTTTTTTTGGAGATAATTTGAGGTACACTTTTTAGTGTACTCCTAGCATGGTTGAGGGTAATTACCACTGCCCTGAGCTAGTTACCACCATCATCCCTTCCCCGCATATCATTCTCCTTCTTTAATAAATCTTCCTCACAACATCATCACCCTCTCTATCTGCTGATTCCTCCATTAACGTCAATAAGTACCCTCTTAGTACTTACCATTGTTGGATCTTAAAAAAAATATGAAGATTCTTGGCATTGATTTATGAAATGAATTAATGATAAGATCATAAAATATTGCGATTGGGATGGAGATACGGCGTATGTAGATTATTTTTTTGTAGAATGATATGATAAAATTTGAAGATCAAAAAAAAATATTTCTTTGATAGGCGCGCTACTTTCTCAAAGAAAGTAGACTTAGGTGTATGAATACTTAGACCATCTCCAATCCAATCATTTATATTCTGGTCTTCTATTTGCAATTATAGCCTTTGAAAAGTGTTTTAGACGTTCATTTTTTTATGGATTATGCTATGTGTACCCCAAGACTTGTACCCCAATTTGTACCCCGCAGTTTTGCACTAACATTTTGTGTTGGTGTAAAATTAATTTTTGTTAAACGCAGCAACATTTGTGTCCGTGTGAATTTTTATTAGCGCACCAACACTTGTGTCGGTGTAAACCATCGAAATGTTTGTGCAAACCTGTGGTGTACAAATGAGGTATATTTGTTGGGGTAAGTGTAGCATGGTCCTTTTTTTATTCTCGCTCCAACTATATCATTCATATCTTAGCTTGTCATAACAAATATTTATTTTTAAACTACACATGTTTTTAAAAAGCTCTAATTATTTCATTAAACACGGATGCAACCAAACCATTTTGTCATTACAAAGAAAAACAAGTTTTACCTGGGTCGCCCATGCTGCTGATCTAGGTCCTGATCTTAGATTTATTTATGGACCTTGCAAATATTCTCTTCATAGTGAAATCAAGCTTTCTGGAGTGAGACGGCAAGACCGCCACTGCCGTCGGTGGACTGGAGCTGCGTGAGAAAAGAGGGAAAAGAAGATATACTTGTGTTACAGTAAACCTTTATTTCAATACTGTATTACGGTCTTCTACAGAGGTTGAATACCAATCTCTTGCCAATGTTGTTGCTGATCGAGTTACAATGGGTACAAAATCTTCTCCAAGAATTGCACATATCGGTTCCAGCACCACTAATGCTTTACTGTGACAACGTCAGTGCTCTTTATGTGTAAAAAAAAATCCGGTGTTACATATACACGGATGGAACATCTTGCGTTGGATTATTTCTTTGTTGTGAAATTTGCACTAAATAAGACTAAAACATAAGTCATTTCCCAATGTAGGACTTAAACTTTTTTATTCCCTAAATAGGACTTAATAATAATGACTACTAAGAAGAATAATGTCCAAATGATGCTGGAAATTTAGTTGAATAATGACTAATAGATAATGACCAATGGTCCTACATTGAGAAATAAAAACATATGATCCTATATTGGGAAAGTCATTATGTTTTAGTCCTATTTAGGTAAATTACTCTTCTTTGTTCGGGAATTAGTTGTGGATGGTAAGCTTCGGGTAGCCCATGTTCGTTCATCTGACCAACTCGCAGGTATTCTTACCAAGCCTATTTATCGCCCACTTTTTCTAAAAATCCGGTCCAAGATTGGTGTTTCTGACGGATCCCCAATCTTGCAGGGTCGTATTATAGATAAATAAATATAAATATTCATTTATATTTATTCTTGATTCGCCTTGATTTTCTTTCCTTATCTCACGTGTATTTATTGTATACCATGTATAGCTAGCTCCTAGACTTTAGGCTATCATTTGGGATCTATACTTACTCCCTCTTAGTTGTTACTATTTATATACGTTATGATGAATGAAGAAGAATTAGGGGCTGTTTGTTTCAGCCTCTTAATGGTTCAGATGTCTGAATGGTTCAGCACTTAATGGTTCAGACTGTTTGTTTCAGCCTCTTAATGGTTCAGATGTCTGAATGGTTAAGAGATCTGCCTCTGAATGATTAAGTATTATACAGAGTCTGAATGGTTAAGACCTCTTATCTGAATTGATCAGACATTTGCCTCTGAATAGTTAAGCAATATACTAGCTCTTAATGGTTCAGACCTCTAACTGGTTCAGCACTTAATGGTTCAGACCTCTTACTGGTTCATCACTTACCCATTCAGAAGTTGCCAAACAGCCCCTTACATTCTGACTTAATATATTTAAAAGATGCTCTATAATATAGATGCGGTGCGTAGGAGGATTGATATAGCCACGGTAACAGCCATAAAATGAACTTCAAAGTGTTACAACCCATACGTTTCTCTCTCGAGAATGGCGAGGCAACGAGGATGACCTAGATCTACAAAGAGAGAGACTAATTAGATGCTTCAAACACTGGCGAACAGTGTTTCCCCAAGCTCGGGGAATATCTAGATGGGCAAGCTTTCTTTCCCTAAAACCTTAGTGAAGGAGATGCAGGTTACGACTACGTCTAACTTAGAAGTGGAAGGGGCATCTGATGTACCTGAAGAGCATAAGACAGAGATGGAACTCAGCACAGAGAAGGTGAAACACATCAGCTACACTAAAGTTGTTGAGGGATCATTACAGGTATAGTGTGATCTTTCTTTTATTCAAGCTGAGGAGGTACGTAAATGGACAAAAACTAGCTAAGTTTACATTGGATGATGTGTGAGAGGATATCGGTAGTTGGGATAAGGCTATAATATGTTACTTTTTGGGGGTTAATCCACCACTTGAAGTGATTAAGGGGTATGTGTCCAGGATTTCCAAAGCCTATGAAATTGAGGATGTATCTTGTACTCCGTATCTCTTTATAAAGAAGGGCAATTCATTGTGAGTTTTAATAAGGTGGAAGAAAGAGATAGGTTGCTAAGAGAAGCTATTACTTCTTTGATAACAAACCCTCCTGATTGTAAAGTGGATGTGAAATGATCTGAAGAATGTACCTATTTGGGTGGGTACAGTTTCCAAAGTTAGATTTCTGAATTCATACGTGATTCTTCGTTGTGCTATGTGTTTTGTAAAATTTTAAGGATTTTGAACTTTTTAGCCCAATAAGTTGAACATTTTCCTTGAGATTCGTTATCGAGTGATTGTTATGTCGTGGGTTTGTTCATTATTTTCACAAAATTTAAAGTTGTTTAAGCACAAAAACAATTTTTAAGTTTTTGAAAATATGTATTGTTATTGTTAAATATATACTATATTTATGTTAAATATATATTCTATATTTATTGTACACATATTGTTTCCTATTGTAGAATCCTACCATAATTAGGATTAGGAATAGCTTGTGTATATAAACACATGTACTCCCACATTATTGTTAAAGGAAAATCACAATTCTTCATGGTATCGGAACCATAATTTTCAAAACCCTAACCCTACTTCTCTCCCTCTCTCTCGGCGTGCTCTCCTCCTCCAGCAGCACAGCCGCCGCCGCCTTTCTCTCTCGGCGGTCTGTCCTCGGCAAACACACAACCCCCACGTCGGCAAACCCCCCCTTCCTCCCTCGACATGGCTTCCTCCGACAAAAATACAGAAAATTCAACCTCCTCCTCCTCCTCCAATCCCCCTCATCTGGCTTTCACCACGATCTCCAACGTCAAGCTTCATGTCCCGATCCAGCTGAGCTTCTCTCAGCCCAATTAAAAAAAGTGGAGCCGGCTTTTTCTTCTCCTGGTGCGCCGGTTTACACTCCACGGTTTTCTCTCGGGTTCTTCGTCTCCCTCTTCTGCCGATGATGATGAATGGTACCAGCTTGACGCCCTGCTCCAAGGGTGGATTCTCTCTACTATTTCTGACGAAGTCTCAGATCTGGTCATCTCCACCAACTCCTCTGCAGCTGAATTATGGCGGGTTATTCATGCACTTTTTCATGACAACAAGCATGCTCGGGCGATGCAACTCGAGCACCAGTTCCAAACCACTGTCAAGGGTACGATGACCATGGCTGCGTACTGTCAAACCCTGCGGAACATTGCCGATTGGTTGGATGACGTCGACGCTCTGGTCTCTGAGTCTCAACTCGTGCTTCAAATGCTTCGGGGGCTACACGAAGATCTCCAGGCTCAGACATCATTCCTTCAATTCCAACAACCGCTGCCCAACTTTCTTCAGACCCGATCCGCCCTCCTGCTCCTAGATCGGCAACGGCAAAGCATCGCGGACGACGCTGGGACGGCCCTCCTGGCCGGCCGAACCGGCGGCCCACCCTACGGCACCAGCAGTGGCGGCTTCGGGCGTGGCAGTGGAGGGCCTGGCAGCGGCAGTGGCGGCCGCGGACAACAGGGGCGCAACTCCGGTCGTGGTGGAGGCGGCTGTGGACGTGGACGAGGAAGAAACTCTGGCTCGCAACGACACCCGTATGACGGCTACGTACCTTGGAACTCACCGCAACCCAACCCCGGCTCGGGTCTTCTCGGCCCGCGCCCGCCCAACCCTACCCACCCAAATGCCCATGCCTACTACACATACAACCCTACCCCCAACCCCTCACTCCACCCCTACGGCCAAACAG